CAAATAGACTCTATAAAGCCATGGTCCTCCCGGTTCTAGATTATTGTGATGCTGTGTGGCATGAATGTGGACAAGGAAACAGTGACAAGATTGAACGACTACAAAGACGAGCAGCGAGGATCGTCTACTTCAAAGCTGCCTCAAAACTATCAACTGATCAAATTATGACTAAACTGGGCTTGGAACCTCTCTATTATAGAAGACGGACACACATTTTAAGATTTGTTGATGAGTGCATTGCAAATAGAGTTCCCAGATACCTTTCTAATTATTTCAATGTAAGAAACCGTGACATTCACCGCCACAAAACTAGAAATAATAATGACCTTATTTTAGAAAAAATTAATTTAGAATGCACCAAGCGCGCTTTTTTCTACAAAGGTGCAAAAATTTTTAATAATTTTTAATAATTCTTAGAATTTATAACTGTTCGATCTTTCGTTTAGTGTAACTATTTTGTAATATTGTAATTTGATTTTAATCTATATTTTAAATCTTTTTTATTTTTATTTTTATACTTTTTTAAATTTTTTACAGGACCTGCATTGATAGCAGTTTTTCCTAAAACTGAAGCAGCAATCCTGCATAAATATGTTTAAATTATTATTATTATTATTATTATTATTATTATTTTCTGCCAAACATATGGTACACATACGACTGTAAATGAGAAAACATGCATTGTCATTAATTTAAAATTGTATAAACATCATTCTTTTTCAAAGCCACCGGAAATTTGTCTTTTTCTGATGTCTTACCGTGCAACATGTAATGTCCACAATATCTTCTTCTTTTAGTTGCAGCCATATTTTGTTGTCCTTTAATTTCCTTTTAATCCTGCAGTTACGAATGTCACCACTGATTTTTATGCAGAATAGAAATTTGACAGCACAAAAGACTTAGTCGGTGCACCATCTAAGCTTATTTTGTTTAATCAGGTACAATACCAAATGAATCTGAAGCAGTACAGTTGGCGGCACCTGCCAGCGCTGTTGCAGGAGGCTTTCCTGGATCATCAGGAGGTTTACTACCCACTCCTCCCATACCTGCACAGGTGTGTACTACCCACTACTCCCATAGCTAAACAGGTATTCTTCCCCCCCCCCTGCTACTATGCATACCTACAGCTGTATATGACCACTATAGAAACATTAATATAACCACTTCAGAGAAAATAGTCATAGCTGTTTATAGGTATAAACCAACCCCCTTATATATGCCTGCGTACATGTAGGTGTATAGTAACCACCCCCTCCCATACCTGCATAGATAAATACTACCCACCCCTCCCATACCTACAGTATGCCTGCATAGGTAAATACTACCCACCCCTCCCATACCTTAAAATTTAAAACTACCCACTCCTCCTATACCTACAGTTTTTCTTAGAGCACAACTGTGAATACTGTAGTATGGTTGTTAAAAGTAGTTGGCTGCCAGTGAAAATCGCTGCCTACTTGGTTAGTAGTGGCCAGCCATGCTGCTTGGCATTTCTTTACTCATGGCGTTTTTAAAATAGAATATCCCAGGACTGGCCGCTTACTCTGACAACTCAGCGGTCTACTTCAAAACTTTCTGACAACCCTGAGTATGATGTTAAAGTACTGCTTAGAGATTTCATACATGTATATTTACATCAGTGTAAAATTGTTCATTTGTTTGGTCTGAAATTACATGAATGATAATGAAATTTATTATTGCCATATTGTTACAGGTTCCTATTGTTCCTGGTGTAGTTTCTACAGTCATTCCTGGGGTGAGATGTGTTTTTGTTTTAGTACATTTAAAACCCCTTTACTAGAAGTACACACGATCAAGGCCCCATACACACAAATCTGAGTACCTTTAAAACCAGATATTTTTTACATGAATTGGCCTTTTGTCCTCATTTAACTAGTGAATCTGCTCACCCAAACCGCCTCCAGAGTGGTTTAAGGCTGGATGTTTGGATTCATGTGAATGGGGCCTCAGATGACTTACCATTCCATCCTTGACTTGAAATAGAGCTGTACTGTGTTCCCATCTGATTTAAATGCTGCTCTGTCAGAGATTTTTTAACCCCAAATTTATTATCTTACAGTTTTCACTACAACTCAAAGTATTTCTTGCATGCTCATGTCATTAATTTTGTTCTTATTTGATGTAGTTGGCGACAACTCTTACTTTACCAGCTCCTTTACCTCCGCCGCCGCCACTGACAAATGTGGACCCCAGTAAAATTGATGAAATAAGGAGGACTGTTTATGTTGGTAACCTGGATACTACGGTAAGAGTGCAAAAATTTGAAGCTGTAGTTGTCATAGAGAGTTAAAGCATAGGCCCTATGAGACAGAAATATTTTGGTGCCTCAAAAAAAAGTATGTCAGTGAATTGGAAGATTACACAGAAGTATGATGCAAGAGGAAGGATGTAAGGAATCATTTTA